GATCTCGGCTCACTGCAACCTCCACCTCCTGGGTTCAAGTGATTCTCCCGCCTCAGCCTCCTGAGTAGTTGGGATTACAGGTGCACGCCACCACGCCCTGCTAATTTTTGTGTTTTTAGTAGAGACATGGTTTCACCATATTGGTCAGGCTTGTCTTGAATTCCTGACCTCGTGATCCACCCACCTTGGTATCACAAAGTGCTAGGATTATAGGCGTGAGCCACCCCGCTGGGTCTTTTTTTTTTTTTTCTCTTGAGATAGGGTCTGGCTCTGCCACCCAGGCTGGAGTGCAGTGTGCAGTGATCTTGGCTCAGTGCAGCCTCCGCCTGTTGAGTTCAAGGGATCCTCCCACCACAGCCTCCCAAGTAGCATGCGCCACCATGCCCACCTACGTTTTTTGTGTTTTTGTAGAGACAGGATTTCGCCATGTTGCCCAGACTGGTCTTAAACTACTGGGCTCAAGCGATCCTGCTGCCTCGGCTTCCCAAAGGGCTGGGATTACAGGCGTGAGCCACTGCACCCGGCCCACATTCCCTTTTTCACAGTCCTGAAACTTAAATGTGACTGCAGGGAGGTGTGAACTGACAACTTTCCCACAGCCAGAGACCAGAGAGGCAGGGTTTGGAGGGCTCAAACTGGAGGCCGGAGGGTTAACCCCAAGTCACATGCAAAAGGCTTGTTTGTGCAGCTCAGTGAAGTTTCACACTCAAACAGCTATCTGAACTGGACAGAAATGCTGTACTCTAGCCAGTAAATTTGTTTCTCTTAGAAGTACAAGGCAACAGGCTGGGCGCAGTGGCTCACGCCTCTAATCCCAGAACTTTGGGAGGCCAGAGTGAGTGGATCACCTGAGGTCAGGAGTTGGAGACAAGCCTGACCAACATGGTGAAACCCCATCTCTACTAAAAATACAAAAATCAGCAGGGCATGGCGGCACACGCCTGTAATCTCACCTACTCCGAAGACTGAGGCAGGAGAATTGCTTGAACCGGGGAGGCAGAGGTTGCAGTGAGCCAAGATCGTGCCACTGCGCTCCAGCCTGGGTGACAGAGTGAGACTCCATCTCAAAAAACAAAAAGAAAAAGAAGTACAAGGGCAACAATTCTGAAAATGCCTTCGTGATAACATTGAACAAATAAGTACATGTGTTGTAGATATGAATAACTAGGTTTCATACTGTTGGGGAAAAAAGTGACAAGTAAGTCAGGTACTGCTGCACTGAGGTTATCAGTATGAGCTCAAGTTTATTTTAATAAATGGATAAGAAAATAAATACAGATATGTGATCAGGCACTGTGGCTCACACCTGTAATCCCAGCACTTTCAGAGGCCAAGTGGGAGGATCTTGAGGTCAGGAGATTGAGACCATCCTGGCCAACATGGTGAACACTGTCTCTACTAAAAACACAAAAATTAAACCAG